ATTCATTATGGCTGGAATCAACATATAACTGTATTTATCCGGTGTGACTTCTAGTGATTTTAAACTGTGTATTTGAGTTTCTATAGTGTCACAATTTGCGAAGTTTTAAAGTGTCACTGGATTTGGTTACTGGGGTAAGATTCAGGAGTTTTTGCATATGTGAGTTTATCTTTTCTGCCAAACCTGTTTTTAAGTATTTCGACAACTTCATCGTAATTTGGTTCCGAAATGCAAAATCCTTCTATCGCGTTTGCAGCGTCGCCGCATAAGTACAATTTTAAATAATTAAATTTTTCGATCTTTGTTAAAGATTCATTATCATGGATTGCTACTTAAAAGAGTTCTAGAAACCTGTCCACTGGGTATAATCTCCATAGAATTTAGCAATGGTTAATTTTGGCAGACGCGTACATTTATTGCTTTCAATTTTAGAATTAGTTTCGTTAAGAGAGTTTTCATTATCCGAATTTGTTACTTTATTTAATTCTTTCAATTTTTTATTTGCTCTGAATTGCCATAACTGAATTTTCTCTTTGTATTCGATACAAGATAGAATTTCTGTTTCAAACTCTTCTGCCTCTGATTTCAAGTCACGCTCTATCTGAGCATCTAATTCATTCAGGGTTTTAGATTTCGTGATTAATTGGTCTAAACTTTCTTCTAATGTATTTGTATCAATTTCTTCTTTGTTCAATTCCGATTCGATTCTTTTTAGAATCTTAGACACGGTGGTCCTGATAACTTTTCTTTTCGATTTTAATTTAGCAACAGACTCTTCCACCATAGTTACTCTACAAATTAGAAAATTTAATCTTACCTTTTTGTTGACTTCGCACACTTGCAATGTGCTAAATCCAATTATCGGCCGTTATGCACCAGCTGTTTCAAAATATTCTAAGATATATAAATCGACATCAATCACTTTAAAATGTAACTTTTAATTTGTACAATATTTACAGATCATTGATCAAACATGGTGATTCAGTTGACAAACAAATCTATATTCTTTCATAATCGAAAATCGAAATCTTTTAAATAGGAACCGAAGTGTTTCTAATCAAATAGTGTGCGAAGCATCAGACATCCATCTATCGAACTGCCGGTGGAGAGTTCTAGGGAAATTCAGAAGTCGCGTCGCGTTCACACGCAATGCTAGCGCCATCTATCAATTAATCAAAATAATTTCCACAAGAGGCTCCAGCTAATAAAGATGTGAAATAATTCTTAGATGAAAGTGAAAAAAATCATATTTACATGTTAGTAATTACTTCTGTCAAATATGTGATTGCGTACCATGTAAATTTTCAATTAACAGTGGAGTTAATCTTGCATGCTAAAGTTGCAGCTGTTTCTACTCAGCAACTACATATTTTCTGGAGTGAGATATTTTTTTAATAGATTTTCAGGTTTTGAATCAAAAGACATTGATATTACAACAGATAAACTGAAATCAGAATTTCGCAATTTACTCTTAGGAAGTAGGTAAAATTATATAAGCAACAAGAATCGACTCGCAGTGGACTGTGATTGAGATATTTGGGGAAGGAGGATTATGCTCCCGTAGATCTGTTATGTGTGTCGCGTTGTTCAAACAGCACCATATTACCTGTCTGCAGTATTGTGAGCATGGTGTTTGGACTAGGCTTGCATAATATTCTCAGGTGGAAGTAGCTTCAACCTGTCATTGACTTTTACACCAGATCATCTAGGATCTACAAGTGGTATTGCTTAATCCAGGAAAGGGACCAATATCTTGTAGTATGGGCCGGCCTCATTATCAATGATCGCACACCCTTATATGTGCTTGCAGATGGAATTGTGACTGGCCAACAATATATTGATGTAGTTTTACTGCCTCATTAGCCTTTTCTGAAGTACTTTTGGTGATAAATTTGATATTTTACTGTAGCATATAAACTATATAAGCTAGACTATCCAGAATGTTTATTGTATTTATTCTTGATTGGTGTAAAAATTTTTCCAAGACTGGATTGTCTACTGATGACCATTCCTCTTCAGAATCAGAATCATCTGAATCCAGGCTTGAGTAAGAACTGTTTGAAATCTTCAAATTCTTGGTCAGAAAAAAGTTCTAGGATATCATGTAATTTCATCATCGGTAAGCTCACAGAAATAGTTTGACAAACTATCTGCACTTGATTCTTCATTATCTCATTCTATCCTATTGTCCATTTTTATAAATTTACTGTAAAAAAAAGTCAAGTTATTGTTTAAAAAAAACTTTGTGACCTAAAACCACCGATAATTCATAGAAAACAACTTTTGTCGTCTCTCACACTTTAACAATAATCTGCACAAAACAAGTTTTGTCATTTCTCATGCTTTAACAACAGTATGTGCAAAACGAGTTTAGTCATTTTCAGCTTATGAACAACTGTATATGAAAGCAGGTTAAACTATTATTTTTCTATAAAATGTTTCGAATAATAAAAATATTTTTAGCATGAGCATTTTTCATTTTTATATTAACTGCAAATCAAATTTAGTGATTGTACTTCAAATATTAATTAGATATCATTTATAGTTTTATAAATGGTTCATAGCTTTAAATATAGCATTTGTGGGTGTAATATATTGGAAAACCCATCTGAAATGTATTTTGAGAATTTTTATATTTATGCAGTACTAATTACCCAAATCATTCACTTCTAGATATGTAAAATTCTGCTTGTTAATTTGTATATTTTTAAGTAATGTAATAACCTAAGTATGTATTTTTATTAGTCCCCATTAATTTTAATTATTTTAGATCGTAATTTTATGTCAATAAAAAATTATCTGTAAACTTATTTTAATTGATTAAATCTAGCTTGTAAATTTGCTTCACTCAAATAGAAACAATTTGTTAATATTGTACGGGAAAAAAATTTTTAAAGAGTGTTTATTTAGTTTCAGAGCCTATGTAAATAAAAAATTAATTAAATAAAGGGTATAGTTCAGATGCATTAAATTGGCATATGACCTTGGAATTGTTAATTTTTACAGAGGGGCTACCAATTTGCGAATGCTAAAAGCAGATCGTACTTTTCGCTAAACGATTCTTTTGCCTTACCTGACTGCCTCTTAGCCGCCTATACAACCAGTCTCTTGTTGATAATTCAGAATCATAGTTGCTTTAAATCTTGGTTCTCATAATTTTATATCTAAACACTGGTTTTAATTTTTTTATTTCTTGAATTCGTAATAGTTGCTCCATTTAGCTTATTAAGCTTTTGAATTGTATGTTAAATGAGGTTTTTTTCCTGAAAAAATTCTACTAAAGGTAGAACAATCCATTTGAAGGAATGAAAAGACATCTAAAAAATACTTGAGTTTTTTTAGAAGAAGGCAGCTTCTAAAACTATTGCACAAATTAGATTTTGATGGGAGTGCAGTCAAGACAAACGGACTGTGGCTATGGAAAGACAAGATACAGATTTTTGTGAGATCTATATAAAAAATTCACGGAGAATAATCAAGTAATTATATATTTTGATAAATCCTGGATAGACAGCAACATATGATTCAAAACAGTTGGCAGGTCAGAAAATTGGAGTTTTCATGAAAGAAAGTGCTGGAAATAGATTGATAGTTGTGCCCGCTAGTAACCAGGATGGCTTGATAGAAGAACAATTTGGTATTCCATCTGGCATTACCTAAAGGGATTATCATGGCCAATTGAATTTTGAATTAAACAGCTTTAAGATGCTGTGGTTCAGAATGCTTAAATTCCACTTTATCACAATTTACAAAACAATTCTTAGCAAAATAACTATGTAATTAATTTAAAATGCCTTCATTTTAATTTTTTCATGGTTAGAGTTTTTCCCATGTAATTGTCTCAATATACATCAGTTTTCTCTATAAAACTAATTCTACACTTTTTTCCTCTGATTTTTTTTCAACATATTTCTGGCTTTCTCCTGTTACAGAACTGGTAGAGGTAATTTTAGTTTAGAATTTCAGACATTGCAACTTGGAAAGTTTAGAAAGATTTGAAAGCAATAGGTATAGACCTACGGATCTAGAAGATTCCAGAAAAAATGTCTTCATCGTATTAACACGTAATGGGTGTATTTTACAGAAAATTTGTGATGAAATTTTACTTTTTGGAGAATTTTCAGAAGACAATGAAAATATAATATTTGATTATTTTACTTCTGATACTAGAAGTTTTTTTCTTAACATGTTTATCTTCCCTTTGTTTTCTCTTTGTTTTTTTGCAAATTAAATATTTTCCATTGTATCATTCTTTATGGTTAAAAACATATTTATTTATGTATATTGTTACAATGATCTCTCTCTATATATATATCATGCATAAAAATATTTCTTTGTGATAGAGGAAATGATGTTCAGGTATTTATGTTCATTGCCCGATAATATCAGTGAGGAATTTTGTTGCATTAAAAGATTTCCTAAAAAATTAACAAATTTGCCAAAAATGATAATGTGAAATTACTATAAAGTGAAATCCAATTTTAAAGTAGCTATTTAAGAGCATTTCCACAAATTGAAATGAAGAAACAACAATTTGAGGCCAATTCACTTTCCCATCCCCAAAAGCTGTGTGATCATCTTGAGATAAAATGATTCATCAACCTGTTATTTCTGAGTTATTAATTGTATATGTTCTTAATATTCCCATAACAAAAGAATTTATCTTAAATGTCTAGTAATAAAAGGAAAAAAGTAAATCTGATAAAATAACTTTCATATCCTAATTTTTTATCAGTTTAATTCTGTAGATGCATTGTGTATTTTATCATACAAGGTTATAAAACAGATAATGTAATGTTTTACACTCTGCAGAAGTTTTGTATAGTAGGAATTCCTGCTGTTGATTGATGTAAGTAAAAATGTATTTCTTTTGAATATCTAATTTTATACTTCACTGGTTTTTAAAATTGTATGCTGTGGTTAATGGTATAATAATTGAGAAGTCTTTTATGCTATAGTAATTCATTTATGTCTGTTCTCTTTTATAAACTGTTTTCCAGATTTAAATCTGATGGATTGGAGTTCATTAAATATCTTAGCTGTTGCATTGTGTAATTCACTGTATCTGTGGAATGCTAGCACGGGAGAAACTAAGCAGCTATTGGACATGCCAGATCAAGAGGATTATATATCATCAGTATCCTGGCTGACAGAAGGTAACATACTTGCAGTAGGTACAAGTAATGCAGAGGTTCAGTTGTGGGATGTCATTGCTGAAAGAAGAATTAGAATAATGAAAAGTCATACAGCACGTGTGCCATCATTATCATGGAATTCATATATATTGTCTAGGTATGTGATGTGTATTATCATGGAATTCATATATATTGTCTAGGTATGTGATGTACTACATTTTGCCAAATTTATTAGAACATAATATTGAATTGCAGAATCACAGGATAATTTAAATCCATATTCCATGATATTCTACTGCTTGATTTCTATTATTTTTTTAATTTTGCAATGGAAAAAAAATACACTCTGCTTGGGACCCAAGGCCATGTAGATTATGGGTAATAAATGAAAATTTGTTGAACTAAAGGCCAAAGTAAATAAAATTAACTTTTTTCAAACACCTGTAACTGAATACCCCCAAATTATATAGCTAGTTGTCAAACTATCCTCTCTACTGATTTTAAAAACTTCCAGCACCTTTTACGAAGCTGTTATTTTTCTTATGTGCGTTTTTATGACTGTGGTGAATGCACTAAATTATTATTGTATAAAAGTTAACACAAAGCAAACACAAGCATAAAATTAGCAATAAAAATCACAAGATGCTTTCTCTACAAATTTTGACAAGCTAAACAAGAAATCGTATGGATGCTAGAGAAGTGTATTCACAAACATGCTCAAACAAGTTCTCCACTCAAATTCCAAAGCAGCAGTCAGATTCCGAGGAAAACTTACCAGAGAGTTGTTTGAATTTTTGGGCGTTCAAGTACCAAGATCAGTATTGTATAATGAAATTGTAACATTCTGCTAGAGATATTTTTCAGGGAAGGAAATGGTTGTGGATTTTTACATCTTTATTTTCAGCATAATTTGTAAACTACATGCATAATAAGCACAATGACATAACATTAGCACTGAGATGGGCACATTTGCTGTTTCATTATTTTTTTAGAACTTTTGCATCATTACTGTATGAAAGCCAGCATTGAAAGAGGAAGATAGAATGGATTACATAATAGTGAAATTGGATTATTTCTCAACAGAAGGATATAAACATAGTTTTATTATTATTCACTTCTAAAAGTTTTGATAAGAATACTGTTGGATGAATGATTTTGTATTCACATTTATTGTTATGTAAGTGCATGCTTCACTTTCATTATATGAGGACCATATGATAGGGTTTAGTTTGAAATGATACACTGAAAAAGACTTGGGCTATTTTTTGCTCAACCTCCAATGGGTGAATATACATAAAACCTAAAGAAAAGAAGGAAGAATATACAAAAAAGATTTTATTGCTAAATGTAATGTACAATACAGGTTATTTCTCTACGTAATCACCTTGACGATTGAGGCATTTGTCATCTGTGAACAAGCTTTGCAATACCCTCTTCATAAAATGTTTCCGCGAATGATTGGAAGTGAGTTGTGATGGTTTCTTTGAGCTCCACCTCATTTTGGGATCGCTGTACCCCAAGCCACTGCTTCAGTTCAGAGAAAAGATGAAAGTCACTTGGCGCTAGGTTGGGACTATAAGGTGGGTGTTCAAAAATGTCCTTTTGAAATTGCTGAAGGATCCGTTGCGTTACACGAGCACTGTGAGAATGGGCATTGTCGTGGATCAGAATAATTCCAGAAGTTAGCATGCCTCTTCGTTTATTTTGAATAGCTCTCCCTAAGCGTCGCAAAGTTTTACAATATGAATCTGCATTAATTGTTGTTCGATGCTGCATAAACTCCACAGCAACACACCTTTTTGGTTCCAAAAAAACAGTTGACATAACCTTATGGTTGTTGAAGGTTCATTTGAATTATGTGGGTCTCTTTGGAGAATTTGTGTGCATCCATTTTTATGATTGTCATTTCATTTCGGGCGTGTCATATTGAACCCATGTCTTCTCACCTGTCATAATGGATTTCAAAAAATCGTCTCCATCAGTATTGTAACTGTCAAACTCCAATGCTGCAGCCATTTGATGAGTTTTGTAGTTGTCAGTCAACATCTGTGGGACCCAGCGAGGACAAACTTTTTTGCGGTGCAATTGTTCAGTAACGATAGAGTACAGGGAAAATCTTCAAACTTTCGGAAATTTTATCTATAATTTACTTATAATGAACCTTTGATTTTCCTTAACCGCTTGGTCAACTCGTTGAACAATTTTGTATGTAGCGACAGACTTCGTCCTTGATCATGCACATCAGTTCGCCCATCACTCATTAAGCTGTCTCCATACACTCGACTCATTCTCTGATGAATTTCCGCTGCATTGTTCCCTTCTGCATGCAAGAAACAAATAATAGCTTGCAATTCACACTTGGTGGGAGAATCAGTAGTGACAGCCATGTTTACGTGACTACAACTCAACAGGAAATGGCATGTTGAACTCGCCAGTAACAGAGCGTGTGGAGGGAAAGATGCGCAGTTGCCTACTATGCACACCAACCACCTGCCACATGCCTGGTCATCGTACTGTGCGATTGGAGGTTGGGGGTGGGCCCTGTAAATGTTATTGTTTTTAAGACTGGAAGTGGAAATAATAAAATTAAAAGATAAATTTTATGGACAAATTACAATTAAAATTTTGACTTGCATATCTATATTTACCACATTATATATACACACATTTATATTTTCAGTGGTTGTAGAACTGGAGCAATCCACCATCATGATGTCAGAGTTGCTGAACATAAAGTTGGAACTTTGGCTGGCCACACACAAGAAGTCTGCGGATTGCGTTGGTCGCCTGATGGAAGACATCTCGCTTCAGGTGGAAATGACAATTTGGTTAATATATGGACGCCTAATGCAGGAATTGGGCAGATGGATGGGCAGTCTTTGCATACATTTAATGAACATCAAGCCGCTGTGAAGGTAAAAATTATGTGCTAGTTTTAGTTTGTTGAAATCATTGGCATCTTTAAGGGCACAGTTCACAAATATTCCAAATGATTTTTAAATGTTTCGCAAACATCAAGCCTTCAAAGTGTTTTTCGCAATTTATGTATTATTTGCAGAATTCTGTGTAGCAGTTTTGGCTTATCTCGATAAATTCACATAAGTGTAGCTACATTTAGCAAATTATTTCTGCAGGCATCCCTTTTTTGCTAATGTTTCTACATTTCTGTTAGGGGTTTGCTTTATAAAAGAGTTTTTCGTTTATATCATAATTTCTTCAATGCGCAAATTCTCACAGTATGTTTTCAGTATTTTTGAGAGATCTGGAGATTCAAAGGAATTGATAACAAGCAAAAAAAATCTTTTTCATAATACATTTAATAAGTTGTCAGTTTTGCTTTTTTAATTGTAACAAACGTGTATCATTGATGAAATCTACTGTACAAGAAAACTGCAAATTATTTTATAAATTATTAAAAGATATTTTATAGCTGTGTTCCAAGCGGCAATGTTTACTCTTATTCTCGCTTCTAAATACAATGTTTGCATATTTAGAGTTCATGTTATTAACAATTATTTTACGTAAATTATTTCATATTATGTGCTCTGAAATTCCCAAATAGGAAATTTGTTCCTTCTTTGTCCAGAAACTGCTGTAAATATTGCTTTTAATTGGGCTTTATAATTCTTCACTTGTTTTTATATAATTTTCTAAAACATTTATTCGTAAATTTTTTATATAGTGCTGCAATCTCTGTACCTGTTTGAATTATATTTTCTTTTGCTTTATTTTTCAAAAATCTGTAGTCCATTCTCTTTTTTATAAAATGTTTGTAGTGTGATGGGATTGATTTTCCCCCCTCCGCTGCATACAGGCTTAACACAGGGGTGTTCGTGCTCCGGGGATTTTGAACTTCGATACCCGGAAATTCCGGGGATCGTCGTTCAAAAGGAAGTAGGAATAATAATGAATTATTTATTTTGATCTGGGTAATTTTGTTTGCTTTGAAAGCAGAAAACTCAAGGTCAGTGTGTGTGGTGAAAACTTTTCCTTTCTTTCTCCAAAGGCAGTGATAATGCGTGAAAAGCGAGGAAAAACTTCTTTTTTGTTCTTTCCTTATTGCGAGTTATGACTCATTCCCGCGGTTCTCAGACATTCTCTTCTGGATTCTTTTCGGCAAGTAGGCGCGGGAGAAAAAAGGGAGAGACTTCGTTCGACCAGATGTGTGATCACGTGACTCTGGGTTCAAAGGTCTTATCTCTCCTGGCGTGGCGCCAATAAGTAGAGAAGGGGGATTTTTTGCCGTATTAGCTATTTGTCATTGATCGCTTCTCAACTTTTTTTTCTCCGCTGTGTAAAATTTTCGTTTCATTTATTGATGCACGTGTAAATTTTTCATTTCGTTTATTGAAATATTTTTTTATTTATGTACGCAAGAGAATTTCACTATGAAATTTCTCGATATAAATAGTGATATTATACAATTAGAAGAAGGTGTCCGGAATGCATTTAGGTGGAATTGGATTGAACGGAAAGATGGTAATGGGGATACCATCAGCACATGGTGCAAGAAAATAAATGTTGCTGGACAAGCATATTGTGTTTTTGTAACTCACTGCTGAAGTATGGTGGGGAAGGATTCAAGGCTTTCACAAATCATTCTAAAACTGTGATGCACATAAAATATTCAAAGTGCATTAGACATTCAATGACTTTAAGTAATTATGCTAATTAAAAAAATACTGATGACTTACTGGAGACTGATGCTCGGCCATTGGATATAGTGACAAGAAAAGCATGCCAAGAGGTATTAATAACTTCGTTTATCGCTGAGAATTCTCTTTCTTTCAATGTAGCTCCCAATTTAATTGAACTCTGCAAACAGTTGAGCCGCAATCAGACGGCACTAAACTCGTTGGAAATGTCCAGGACTACTGCATGTTATAAGATGAAATATGGGGTCACAAAAACTATTAAGGAAAATATCAATAAAACTTTAAAGTAGACTCCATTTTCTCTAAATTTGAATGAAAGTACAAGCAATGCTCAAGAAAGTATACTGTCAATATTGATGCAGTTTTATGACAACAATCAAAATGAAGTTGTAGTTCATCCTTTTGCATCTCTAAAGATGGAATCTTGAAAATCAGAAGCTGTTTTTAAAGCAGTTGTTAATACTATTGAAGATAATAATATTCCATGGGAAAACTTAACTAGTGTATTAATGGACTTGTGTAACAAAATGCATGAAAAAAAAAAAAAAAAAAAAAGGTGTTGAAACCAGACTACGATCAAACAAAGCACCCCACTTATTAGATATTGATGGTGACACATGTCACACAGCTAATAACTGTACAAAAAAATTTGCTTCATGTTTTGATAGATGCTTAGAAGATTTGTTTGATGACATTTATTTTGATATGAAAAGCTGCAGTAAAAGAGAAATTTTTTTTTCAAAATCTGTGAATCCCTTGCCATTAAAAAACTTAAGCCCTTGAAGAGACCAGACCATAGATGGGTGTACATTTTATGTGTTTTAGAAAGAATCAAAGATCTGTGGGATGCTCTTATTGCATTTTATTTTCACTACTTGGATAAAACTGAGAAAGGGGATTATTTTTCTTATGTTGAAACTGTGACAATAAAAGAAATATTTCTGCAGCTCAGAAAAAAATTGTTGAAGGGGTGTATTCTTGCTTGCATTCCCAACAACTCACAAAGGATGCTTTAGCTCGGGAAAAAATAATGCTAAATAAGTTATTTGTTATGCAAAACATAACTTTATTGCATATGGCATTATATTCAGCAGTATTACCAGAGTTCAACACATATATTAAATTATTTGAAACAAAAAAACCAATGCTTCATTTAATACATTCTAGTATTTATAAATTGATGGGAAAAATTTTCTCTCTTTTTATGAAGCCAGAAAATATAGAGTGCACATCTTATAATGATTTATTAAAGGTTGATGTCACAAATCCAGAATTCCATCTACCTAGCAAAGTAATATTTACTGGTGCAGAAGCTTCCACTCTCCTGAAGAAATTATCAAAAAATCATCCAATAGCAAAAAAATTCCAAATTTCTCTGATGAAAGCTTATACTAATACAGCACAGCATATGAAACAGAAATTACCCCTTAAAAATTCATATCTAATTAGTTTTACAGCATTAGATCCAGAGCTAAGAGGTAAAACCAGTACAATATTAGCTTTTGAAAAATTATCATCTTTTATGTCCCATATTTTTAGTGATAATGAAAAGGTCAAAAGTAGAAGCTGAAATAAGGTTATTCCAGAGTGATATTGATACCACCAAAGAAATGCTCTACACATCTAATGAAAGTGGAAATCAAGTCAAGTGTACAATTGATAAATATTGGTCTAAAGTTTTTAATTTAAAAGATGATTTCACAAATGATTATTATCTAAATTGGTCAAAGCCTGCCTTAGCTACTTCCATGGCCCATTAGTGGAAAGTGCATTCAACTTGATGGATACACTTGTCACTGACTATAGAACCTCTCTTAAGATTGATTCCCTAGATGCAGTGCAGACTATTAAATATGATTTAATGGCTTCTAAAGAAACCTCATGTGAAAAATATGGCTCAAAAAATGCAATGACTGATCCAGTTCACAAAGATCTCTTACTGAATATGAACAGAAGTTGGAAAACATATCAAGAGGACTTAAAAACATGTATTTCAGATGAGTCACCTATAAAAGTCTCTGAAAAACCTTCTACGTTAGCAGAAAAGCAAACTGCTTCTACCTCTGCATGTGCAGTTCTCGAGGAAATTTCTTCAACTGTAAATGAGGAAAATAAAAGTCAACCTTCCTGCAATTATGAAGTTCACCACAAAAGAAAGACAAGCCCACAAACGTCAGAAAATAAAAAAAAGCAGCAGAAATTAGATAATTTTTTTTTAAGAATTAATTCATGTAATTTAAAATATTTGCATAAAATGTAGTAGTTTATATGTTTGAAAATTTATGGTTATTAATTTTGCAAAAAAAGTAATTCATTGAACTTTTATAATTAGGTCATTCAATACTTCATAATTGTAATTTTTCATTTCTTTCCCCCTCCCTTCTCGAAACTCCAAAATGTCTGTAGTAAGTCCGTAAAAGTTTCAGGGGATTTTTGGGGGTCCCACAAACACCCCTGTTAACAGAAGTTAACCATGAAAAAATATTCATTATATTGTTGTTTCTTATTTTGCACCATTAGAATTCCTCAGGGTGAACAATAATAAATAAAAACTGAGATATTTTATATTTATGTGTACATATCTTTACATATATGTAAAATAACAAGGAATGTGTAATCAATTTATTAATTGTTATTTTAGTTTTTGTGGAGCTGCATTGACATGAAATCCGCAGTTTCACTATTAATGATTAATTTTGGCCATTTGTCTTGTTAAAAAATTATTTTTAAATAAGTTCTGAAAATTATAAAATTACTTTCAGGAGTGAACTGATGAAGGTTGGAATGCAGCTGATAGAACTGTACATATATGTTGTTTCCTGAAAAGACATCTAGAATTTCATCAGTTTTTTTATTAATATTTTAAATTAACAGGGAATATAGTTTTATGGTTTATTATCATATAGTATTGGTTTTCATTTCAATATTCATGCATATGTAATTTAATGTATCCTCAGTATGCCATGTGGATTCACGTAATTCAAATTTATTATTCCTTGTGTTCTTATGTCATATTTTTATGGATTGTGGCCCGGCCACAATCCATAAAAGTGATGAAGATTGTGGTTAGAGCCAGTTCAGTATGTCCTTTTTTATCCAGAACAATTTATATCAACTAATGCTCTATCGTACTGCAGCTTTATACATGTTTTAAAAGTTCAGTTAAATTTTATAATTTGTCTTCCATTTTTTGTTGCTATTGCAGTTGTGTATGCACACATGTGCATTTGCACAGTGAGGGAGAGGTTTAGATATAAAATTTAAGTTCTTATGTAGTTGATGGTAATTTTTACAAAAATTGTGGCTAGAGCTGGTAATTTTTACAAAATGAAGATGAAGTTGTATTATTTTACCCTTTAGAAAGCAGGATGGCCATGATGTTTCTAGTTTGAAGGGATTGTGCATGGCCATGCCTTTTCTTTTCTGTTTAATTTTCCATGATTATTTTCACGTCTACTGTTTGTTTGCTTTAATATAAACTTTAAACATTTTGAATACAGTGGTTGCTCTACATCTACTTTTAAACAGTCTTATTTGAAAGAGAAAATTTTTGTTTGAAATATGACTCAAGTTGGGAGAGTCATAACTGCACTCACTGCACTTGTTTAATTCAAGACAATGCTATAACTACTCATGAGCATCAGCATTGCTGTTGCCTTGACTACCAGTATTCAAATTGAATTATAATTTAGAAACAGCAAGAATCATTAATGAATAAAAAAGTTTACTGCTTTTATATTTTAGCTATCAAAATGAGATGATACATTGAATAACAAAAACAAAAGAATCAAAAATTTAAACAAAAAAAATCATGAATAACTACTTGTTGCCGATCAGCATAAAAGTTTTTTTTTAATCTAATGGTGGGCACTTATCTATTCAGCATTGGCCGCTCCTAAGGCCAGAAGTGGTGTTCCATTTTACTGTGGAGGTACCTAATAGGCAGCCAGTGTTGCCTCCTATGAAGGAACGGACAGTTATAATCATGGATTCTCTGGGATTCGAACCCAGGCTTATCTAACTGCTATACCGTCTGGTCGGCTCATAAAAGAAATATAAATATGAATGACGACAAAATATTAAAGTTAATTTTACTAAATTAAACACATGCAAAAATATCAAATACCTGAAATTAAAAATAATTGTTACTCATGCAATAACTGGGCCTCTACAATGCTATTAAATCAGTATTTTTTTTTATAGAAAAGATTAATTATTTTCCCTTTATTTCTTATTAAAAAAAATGTTTGGTATACATCCAAAGATCGTAATAGATTAATCATCTGTGCTGAAATACCACTGTATATATATATAGAGAGAGAAAATTGAATTTGTGCAGTGTATTGAGTACTGAGTTCAGTTATGCCCTATCATTAAATTTAATTTTCTATTAATATATAATTCTCCACCCCCCTCCAAAATGCCTGTGAGTGAAGCAGTTTTGCAAGCAGCACCCTGTCTACCAATAAAATAGTTTGAATATTTGTAGATGGAAATGTTCTGAAAGAGAGAGAAATTTAAAAGCTGACTTTGCAAAGCTATCATACAGAATAGATTTATAAAAAATTTTAAAAATTTTAGCTGCCCTTTTACTGTACATTTCTTACATTCATAATATTTAATACTGTGCTTTTTAATTATTAGGTATTTGTACTGCAAAACTTCTGATAATAGTTTCAGTACTATTGTTTTACTCTACTGATAATCAAAATTGCTGTTTAAGTACATTAGAGAAACTTGGGTAATAGAATGCCAAACCAAAAATTTCATAGGTAGATGATTTCATAGGATTTTCAAACTAAACACTGCATATTCTTCTATATCCTAGTTCCTTGACAGTTGTGTTATTACACAATATATTTTGGCTCAAAATTTTAACATTTCTGAATAATTCCTATCACATGGGGGGGAAGAACATTTCTCCATATTTCTTCGTAATCTAGACCACAAAATAAACTAAATGAAGGAAATTAGTAGCAATAAATATTTTTCAGTTTATTTCAAAATTTGAATTTTTTTTTTTTTTTTTTTTTTTTTTTTTTTTTTTTTTTTTTGAGAGAGAGAGAGAGAGAGCAAACAAATGTAAATGAGTAAAAGTAGCAGAATGGTTAAAATAATTTTATAACATAAAATTACTATAATAATAGAAGTAAATAAGATAAATTAAACATTTTATGTTGGGCAACCCCCCAAAAAGCTAAAAGTGCATAAGATTAAGATAAAATTTTTATGTTTTATGCATTGGTAACACTTTCAAAGAAGGGAGATGTATACTGCTGGTCACCCAAATTGCAACACCAAGAAGGACAAGAGATATCACAACAAAATTTATTTAGTAGATAACATGTTGAACAAGTATCAAATGATTAAATTTATAGACTTCTATGTGGTTCCTTCCAGAATCAGTAGCCAGAGTAGCCGCTATTGTTGTTGGAGATCACCGCTGCCGCACGCCTCGGCATTGATTCAAAGAGGCTTTGGATATGTTCTTGGGGTACAGCAGACCAAGCAGCTTCCACACGTTGCCAAAGTTGATCTGGTGTGGCAGCTTGGGATGTAATCTGGGTCAATCATTCAGCAACCATGGACCACATGTTTTCTATCGGCGAAAGATCTGGAAAGCGAGCCAGCCAGGGTAGCAATTCAATCTGACGATTGACAAAGAACCCTTGAACAATTCGTGCCACGTGTGGCCGCGCATTATCCTGTTGAAATATGGCTGTGGGCAAGCCCTGAAGGTAAGGAAGGACATCTGCCTCCAACACCTCAGATGTAGCGTTGGCTGTTTAAAGTACCGGCAGTGCGTACTAGAGGGGTGCGAGAGTGATATCCAATACCACCCCATACCATAATACCCAGTGCAGGACCAGTGTGTCATAACTGTGGCGGTGCATAACACAGCTGTTCAGCATCCTCTCTCCACGGTATCTCTAGAGTCGAATCCGACCATCGTGGTGGTGTGGACAGAAGCGTGACTCCTCAGTAAAGACAATTTCATTCCATTCTGCCGTCTACATCCTTCTTTCTTCGCACCATTGGCAGCGGAGACGTGTGTGGTTCTGCGTCAAGGGTAGACGAAGCAATGGACGTCTTGCAGACAGACCACTCTGCTGTAAAGTGTCGAATGGTACACGCAGACACTGGATGATGCATTACAGACCGAATGTGCTGTGCTATGGTTCGTGATGTGACTGAGCGATCCGTCACTGCCATGCGCACAATGTTCCTGTCATCACATGAAGTGGTGCACTGAGGTGGATGTGATTGAACATGTCGTTCCATCGTACCCTCCTGCATCCAACAGTCACATATCCGCATTACAGTTGTTTGGTTTGTTCAACACGACTATCGATTTTCCTGAAAGATAACCCACACTCTCGGTAGGCCACTATCCTTCCTCTGTCGAACTCGGATACTTAATCAAACGATGCTCGCTGTTTACTACGAGGCATAATTGATCATTTTTTTGAAAAAAACCACAAGAAAAACACAATTGGCAAACTTGAAATCATCGAAAACTCCAAGCCTTAAATACACTTTGAAGTGGCGTCAGGTGCACGTGACGTGCATCTGCGCTGAAATTCTGATCATTTGCATACATCACCTCCGCTAATGCATGTTGTAAATTTCATGTTATTTGCATGCTTCCTTCAGGGTGTTGCATTTATGTTAGCCATCAGTGTATATGCATACTCACATAAAATAAACTAATGGTCTAAAAATTTAAAGTCTCCACTAAGAATGTTTCTACATCCAAAAGTAAACTGTTACCAAAGAGTGGAAAAGGTATCTTCTTTCCCACAGTGCGTTGCATTGGCTTTGTTATGTTTATTTCATATTTTGATAATTTATAGTGTGTTTTTGTTTTCCTTGACAGAATTGTTAGTTATATAATTATGTAAGATATAATAAAATATGGCGGCTACACTAAGAAATGATTGGCAACCTCAAAATTAACTATTCTAGATTTTATGTCCTTCCCCTAAATTCATCTGTTCTTCCAAATTCAAGATCTTTCCATGTTACATAATGCTGCTCGAAAAATGGGACTAAAAATTAACCAGTCACAGCTTAGCTATGATTATGCACCTACTTGGTATATATACTGCTAACATCTCCAGGCTACTGTGCCTACTTGCCTAAAATGATGTCGTATGCCTTTATCTGTGTATATTAAAATTATTGTAATTGCTTATGAATGTGTAATATGTGCTTAATATGTGTGAAAATAAAGATTGGTGATTCGTCAAAACCCAGTCATGACTTGTCTTTGTCTGTATGCCTTCAACCTCAGCCATGAGGACTACCGTAAGTTAAAAAGTATCGGTGTCTTCCATGCACTAAAATATGGCATATATAATTAATCACATGTTTATTTTGTTTCCCACAGGCTGTTGCATGGTGCCCTTGGCAACAAAATATTTTAGCCACTGGGGGTGGAACTGCTGACCGTCAAATTAAGTTTTGGAATTGCAGTTTCGGCTCGTGTTTAAACACTCTTGATGCTAAATCTCAGGTAACTATGACAGTATTAAAATTTGTGATGTTGCATTTCGAATTAAAAATTTTTTATTATTTACTGACCCCAGTATTTTAATGGATACTTCTCAGTTTTGTCAGCAATCAAAGCGACGAGGAAAAAATTTTAGCATCATAGCAAAATGTAATAGCACCACACTTACTACTATATTTACAAAAATACAAATTTCTACTTAAATAAAGTTGTAATTTATTTTTTAGGTGATCATAAATTGCCAATATCAGCTTATTGCTCTTGCTTATTGTCCAAATACTGCACATTTTTTTGAAAGATTTTAGGGTAACTGGTGATATTACTGATTCTCTAAAATGAAAGAATTGGCTACTATTTCACCCAAAGTAATCAAATAGACAGTTCTATCCTTAATATTTTATTTTTATGTTTTTCTGAGCTCCAATATGTTGGGAAGTTTCTTTGATCAAGTAAGGGAGCATTGCAATTAGTAGTTTTTAACTTCAACCATTATTACACATTGTGCAAAATATATTTTTATTTCATTACCAATCTACAGAAAACTGAGTCTTGCCTATTTTCCATCTTTTATTTAAATTATTTGATATGTGGTTTGCATATCAATTCATCCCCATGAAAATATTTTCGCAGAATGTATAATTAAATATTATATTCCAAATGTCTAATTCTCTTTTGTTTTCTCCTAACTGAATTAAAGTTGCCACTTTTATTTCAGAAACCTCTGTGTTAATCCAGATATTTGATTCATTAGTTTTTTCTTTATAAATCCGTAGCTTTGATTGTGATAATTATTGTGGTCTTTGTAATTATCATCTTCACAAACCAGTTGCTTACAACATTTTTGTGCAAGAAAAATATTTTAAAATATCTTTCAAATCATTTACGATGTTAGCAGAACTTTCACTGCCCATATCAAAGTTTAATATTCTTTCTGAAAGTGTTTTCAAGCGAATTTAATAATTCAAGAAAATATATCTACATATCTGAACATAGTCAGGAAAATCATTGTATGTCATCTCTTTCCCAAACGACATACCACATCTCTCATACATTGTGTTTAATTTTGGCTTGAACAACTTACTACATCTTTTGTATAACATGCAAGGAGATAAGAAAAGCAAGTTGAGATGCCATCGTAATAAATGTTCTTTAGTTATTTAATAGCTTTGCTGGAAGCTCTGTAGATGCACTGTGTGTTTTGCTTCTCTTAAATTAAAATGTTTATTATTGCCACTTGTTAAAATTAAATTCATACTGTTGAATAAAATTAAAATTCAATTCAAAAAGTGTTTCAGTTCAAAATATTAGAAAAGTATATTACTATTTAAATGAAATTAAAATTTGAGAAATGCATAGAAGTTTGCGATCTTCTGTATGTTATTTCAAAATTTTATCATCACCATCAGATCTAATTCTGAATGCAGAGACATAATATTGGATGCATTAGATATAATGTTAGAAGTTTTGTAAATAACCAATTATAAGGTGTTTGAAACCTATTTTATTTATGGCACTCTTATAAAATTACACTTGTCACAAAATATTAAGAAATTCAGATGAACTGGCTTTTATATGATTAAGTTATACTGTATTGAGCAATGCCTTTTTGTAATACTGAAATTAAATTAATGATCTTATGCATCATTGATTGGCTGTAATATCTATTTATTGGTAAGAAAATTTTAGCATGAGATGAAAATAAATCTTTTAAAAAGATTTTAGTAAAACAGAAGTAAAGAATCAAGATGACAGAATAAGGGAAGCTTTTTCTTTGAGTAAGAATCGGGGAGCTTTTCTTTGAGTAAGAATCAGGAAATTGGAGTATGTAGCATATTCGGAAACTAAGTACTGTTTCATTCTAGCCGCGTCGCAGCTCTGTGGTAGGCGTCCCGCGCATGCACACTAGTCTTTCTTGTTCACTGACTTTCAATTGTCGCCATTTTGGTTGCTCTATGTTGTGTTTTCAGTTTGCTGTGCACATTCAAAATGTTTGAGACAATTAGTTCTCCCGCTGACTGTGAGATTCGTGCTGTGATTAAATTTTTGAACACGAGGAATGTTACCGGCCGAAATTTATCGTCAAGTGACAAAAGTTTACGGTGAATACGCGATAAGTGATGGAATGGTGAGAAAGTGGGTAAGAATGTTTAATGCAGGTCGAACAAATGTCCACGCCGAGGCTTGGAGTGGTTGGCCTTCTGTTGTCTCCGATGATTTGGTAAGGAAAGTTGATGAAGCATTTCATGAGAACATATGCTTCACAATGACAACTCTTTCAGAGGCATTTCCACAAATTTCACGTACTGTTTTGTTCGAAATTGTGTCTGACCTCTTGAATTATCGCAAACTGTGTTCCCGATGGGTTCCAAAAATGCTCACTGATGTTCACAAAACAAAGCGACTTGGTAGTGCCCTGACATTTCTCGTGCAGTACAGTGATGAGGGAGAAAACTTTTTCAACCAAATTGTGACAGATGATGAAACGTGGGTGTGTCATTTCACACCAGAATCGAAACAACAATTGATGGAGTGGAGACACTCATTCTCCGAAAAAACAAAAGTTCAAAGTGACAATGTCATCACAAAAAATCATGTGCCCTGTCTTCTGGGATAGGAAAGGCGTTTTGCTTACTGAATTTCTTCCCAGAAGTGAAACCATTAATGTGGCACAATATTGTGAGACTTTAACAAAACTAAGGCGTGCCATTCAAAACAAACCGAAGAGGAATACTCAGTAAAGGAATTGTGTTGCTCCATGACAATGCTCGGCCCCATACTGCTGGTGTCACTCAATCGTTAAATCGACAGTTTCATTGGGAGCAGTTTGATCACCCGTCGTACAGCCCAGACTTGGCGCCGTCCGACTCTCACTTGTTCCTGCACATGAAGCGCAAGCTTGGTGGCAAGCGCTTTGGATCTGACGATGACACGAAAAATGCTGTGGAGTCGTGGTTATCGAAACTGGCAGGAAGTTTCTTTGACGATGGTATACGAAAACTGGTCACCTGCTATGACAAGTGTTTGATCATTGGCGGAAACTATGTTGAAAAATAGTTTAAGACATGTATTTTGATGTTAAAATAAAATTGGATTCTAAAAAATTGTTTTACTTTTTTTTTTTTTTTTTTTTCCAAAACGGTACATAGTTTCCGAATACACCTCGTATATAAGATATTTTGGGACTTTGTGAGGAAGTAAAAGTGACATGATCTTAAGAGATCACATTACATTATTTTTCCTATTTTCAGGTATGTGCCCTTCTTTGGTCTAAAGAATACAAAGAATTCATATCAGGTCATGGATTTGCTAAAAATGAACTGATCATCTGGAAATATCCTTGTATGACCAAAATCTGTGAACTGACAGGTAAAACTTCTTTCATTTAGCATTTCTTTAAACTAACATACAGTTTGTTTAGTATTACTAGTTAAAAAAATTAATAACATCTTATCTAATTGCTTTTTTTCCAATGAAATATAAAAGTAAAGAGAATGCAGTAGCATTCTTAAGAAGAGGCTTTTATAATGATTGTTGTGCAGTAAAAAAGTTTCCTTTAGACTTTTCTGTAAAATATGTAATTTTAATTGAAATGTCATGTATAATATTAGTGTTATGTATAGTATTGGTATTTTTTAAAAAGTATGCAAAATAATATGAAAATTTTGCATATCTAGTCTCTCCCCCCTTATACATCTTCTTTTGGAGTTGTGTAGTCTACCTCTCCTTAGACAAAAAGTCTTCGTATGTTTTCCTTTATCAATTTTCATGTTTGAAATAAAATTTTTGCGCTGCATACACAGGGTTCGTAGCAGTCCTTATAAGTACTTATATTTGAAATATAAAGGCCCTTTTAGGTGCTTACTTTTCCTTTAAAGCCCTTATTTTTTTGTTTTTTAATTTTTTTTTTTTCTTCTTTTTTCTTTTTAATGAACTCGCATTTTTCCCCCGTACTAAAGCCGAAACTAAATAAACAACTTTTCTTCCTTATATGCAACGTCAGATGGTGAATCATACTCCCAGAAATTGCTTTTTCCCCTTTTCTCTGCATTAACGTAACCTATGGTGCGCACGAGAGTACAGATAGGTGCATGGCGTTCTATTGGTTAAAGAATTGCAAAAACAGTAGAAAATTCTGGTACATTCGGTATTCTTTTCCCTCCACATTTGGATTTCTATCAGGGTTCATAGCCACATTTAAGGAAAAAATAAGCACCTGTCTAATTACATTATACACAACTGCATAACCTTAAAAGAAAAATTAGACTTGTTAATTTAAATATGAGCAATGCAATATTTATTAAGAGAATGAGCATTACCTCAACCATGGAAAACAATTAACTTTTTTTTAATTATAAATGACAGTTCAATTTACAGAATTAGTGTACAATGAGAGAAAAAAAAAAACTATGCAGAACTAAACTATATAACAAGATTTAATGATAAAATTTCAGTTCAAAATATAGAAAATAAATAATAAAAGGCCTTATTAATTGTATTCGTTTGGCACCTAATAATAAATACAATTTATTTTTCCACTCATATTAATAAAATAATTTAACTTAAATCAAAATTCTGAACATTTTCTAAATTTTCATTGCATAACAGTTTTCCTTTAACATATATTCCAAGCAAAGTAATTTAAGTAAAAAAGAGGCACATTTCTGAAATCAGAAGACAGGAAATTGCTTCATGCAGTCATCCTTTAACAGTAAAAGCTTAACTAACTCGCATACTCGCAAATTGCCGAATATTCCGGATAGTGAAAAAGAGGAGTGGGGGAGATTGTAACCGTTCTTTAGATTTCTCCGCTAAGTAAATGATTTTGACATTTCGATATGTGAATCATATAAAAATAGATCAACGGAACTGAGATTCTGCTTATAAAGCACAGTAAAACTCTTTTAAGTGTTCATAAACAAATCTCAGAGTGAACATCAAAATTAGTTATCTCTGCAAAAATACCGCAAACGTTATTGCGCAATACGTGCGGCGTAATTCTTCCACATGTGATATTACACAATCGGAATCAACAGCTGCCGGTATTCGGAAAATAAAGAACTAAATAAAGGAAAAGGAAGAGACTTACTAATCTGGAGTGTTTCTGATTCTAATTTTCAAAAGACTGCATTAAATTTCCAGGAATAGAATCAATTCTTCGCCTTGGGTCGGGTAGATCGCAAAAACTTTTAGTCCTATTCAATCCAGAATTGGACAAGTGAAAAAAAGTAAGTTGTTTGTTTCGAAGTGAACTTAACAGTTTCAGATTAGAGATTTTGCGGAGAAAAGGGTGAACCTTCAAACCTCCGTACTGTATAATGTATTGGAAAAAAATTTAAATAAATTATTTTGACTATTCGATGATTACTTTTCCCCTTTATTTAAGCCATTCTAAATATTATTCCTTAGAAAGCTAATCTGTGCAAGAACACACCCATTTTTGGAAGTTTATCTATACTTCGGCAGTTACTGCAACTATATTATTATAAATATTCATGCATATGCTCATAATATACGCTTAACGATGATAATAAACAAGAATATGAACTCACCATGTGCAACGAGAATGCAAATTATTAAAATCTTCATAGAAATTCAAATGTGTGTAGTATTTGAAGTGGGAGGGAAAAGAATACCGAATGTACCGGAATTTTCTACCGTTTTTGCAATTCTTTGACCAATAGAATGACGTGCACCTGTCTGTACTCTCGCGCGCACCATAGGTTACGTTAATGCAGAGAAAGGGGGAGAAGCAAAAGCAATTTCCGGGAGTATGATTCACCATCTGACGTTGCATATAAGGAAGAAAAGTTGTTTATTTAGTTTCGGCTTTGGTACGGCGAAAATATGCGCGTTCATTAAAAAAAAAAAATCTGATGTGTACACCACATGAGTTCCTTGTATTGGAATATTAAATTATATGCATTTTTTCTTGCATTTCATTTAAACCTATTGGATTAAATTAAATCTACTTCGCTGACAGCGCATAAACCACAATAGAATAAATGCATTCTTTAAAATTCACTCTAGTATTTGTTTACCATAGCGACACTCTGGCACTAGATTAATTAGTATTAATAATTATATAACAGTTAACGTATATATTTCGTTCATATTATAACTCATAATGCACAAAATTTATATCATTTAAAGAATAGAATTATCTAATCGTTGCCACATGTTCTATTCAAATACTATAATAAAGCTAGAATGATGTATAAAAGAAATTAAGCAAACAAAACAAAAAAGAAACAGTTTTTCACAGACGATTGAGTAATTCTCATTCAATTAATTCAGTTCTCACTTCGCGAGAAGGCAAAAATACATAAAATCTCAAAATATCTGTATTAAAAATTACGAAGTAAATTTCAAACACTTATTTCCTCGAAAAAATTAGCTCTATCTTCTGTAACCTAAATACATGCAATTTTTTAGATAAGCAGAAAACTTTATTTGAAAATTAAAAGATGAAGAGGAAACTTATTGAGGAAGTGATTATATATAGAGAAAATTCTTTAAGGGGTAGTGTTGAAAATATTAACAAATTAGCAGATGAAGCAAAGATGTTAAGATACGCTGCCTTATTCAAAAAAAAAACTTTTAACTGATAAAACATCTATTCCGAGTTGCTTATAGGTACATGCCTTGTTTTTTTGACACAGTTGCCACCATTGTCCAAGCATTTGTTATATCTGGATACAAGCTTTTTGTATTCCACAGTCATAGAAGTTAAAACCATATTTCAACCTGAGTTTTGATCTCATCATCATCATGGATGTTTTGTCCTGCGAAATGTTTCACTAGTAAAATGAATAAATGGGTGCAAAGTCTGAGCTGCATGGCAAATGGCATAAATCTTCCCACTTGAAACTTTTGAGTAGCACTGTATGAGGACAAGCATTGTCTTGAATCAAGCAGACACCAGTTGTCACCATATCCATACTTGAATTGCTTGTAAAGACATCTCAGTCTCCTGCAGTATGCATCAACATTAATTCTGATGCTGAAGGCATGAAGTCAATCCGAAGAATGTCTGAGAAAATGAAAGCCATGTTCTATTGTTATTGCTGAAACTGGAGTTTGGAATTTCTTGGCTTTTGAGGAATGGTGCTATTGTATTAGTTATTGCTTAGAGTCTGGTATGGGTTGATAAACCCATGTTTCATCAAGAGTGACACTGTGATTGTAAAACTCATCACCTGCTTCTGCATATCGTGTGAGGGAGTTAAATGCAGAGACCATTTTTTTATTTTTGTGTTCTTCCATTAACATTCCTGGAATCCATCATGACCATAGTTTCCTGTACCCTAAAGTCACAGCTTCATAGAGTTGTATCATAGAGGATTTTATGCAATTCCTTCAATGTGAGATGCCTATTTGCTTGAACTCCTTAATTCAGGAATGAGCAAACTACGGCCCTTGGATAGAATTTTGATTTGCCAGTCCGAGGCAAATTAAAGGAAATATATACTTATATATTATATATCCATCTCCTTTTCTACTTTGTTAAAATATTTTTTCTTCCTTTTTTTCAAAGGACTGATGATCTTTTTACTTTCCCTATTTTTGTTCTACAAAACATAAATCGATGGAATTAGCAAGCACAGACAACTTTCAATTGGTAAAGTGTTAAAAGCGGAAGTTCTTTGTTAGTTATTAGCTGTAGATTTGACGCCAACAATCTTATATGGGAATCCAATATAGGTGAATTATACCTCACGTGTGGCAAACTGCGCATTTTAAGCTCCAGCCAATGGCTTTTTCTTTTGGCGCAAGTTCTAATATTATTGGTTGCGTATGGAAAGATTGCGGACATATAGAATCGTTGTGAATAGTGATGAAATTATTAAAAGTATAGCATAGCTAGTGCTTGTTTGGGTTATTTGTAAAATATTTATTTAAAAAACAATAATTATTAAAAAGTAATAAATTTTTAAATGTGTGCATCTATTATAAGTGTAAAATATAAATTTCTCAGTTCCTCCCCCCCCAAAAAAATTTAATGTTAATTACTTGATAACTTTTGAAAGTTGGCTTTAATCTCAAATTATTTTTACAAATATGTTTCCATAAAACTGTAAAGAAGTGAAGTCAATTGCATAGATAATTGCTTTAATTTATTCAATTTCCATTTACTGTTGGTTCTTTAATTTTTGCTTTGTCAATAGTTCTTAAAGGTGTTTAATTTCGGTGTACGAAATGTGTACCAAAACTGTATAATGAACTAAAAATTCACACTCTTCTTCTAATAACCCCCCCCCCCCAAAAAAAGAAAGAAAAAGAGGGGGGCAAGATTTAGGAGGACTTTTGAAAAATAGACCAATGCATTTTAACAAAAAGTTAAATTGCATGTAAATAATATTTGAAAATGCAAAATAAATAGCAAACAAAACTTATTTAGAAAACATTAATAATTTTAAAATCGACTTTTCTTACATGAATGCCTTTTTTATGTTGCGTGGTTAAAAGAGAACCTTTAACTGTGACCTTGGTAGGGATTTTTTTCTCCTGGCCAACAAGAATTGATGTGAATGGAAGTCAGGGAAAGAGTTTATCACTTTTTAAAGTCACGTTAATATCACTGGTGGTGTCAGTACCAGCTTCGAATGCACTTCATACATGTCAACTTAAGAAGTCATAATGCAGCATTATTGCAAAGTTGCTTGTAGCTCATAAGTGTTTTGTTATGTGGATACAACATCCCTGCAACTATGTATGCTGTATGAGTAGAGTTCAATTACTTCATTCACCACATCCTTCTTTAATTAGTTTACCCTTGAAGGCTTTTTTTATTATCAGTTTTACTATTACACAAATACTTGCAATCAATAATGCTTTTACATTTAGCAATGTCTGTTAGTAACTGTGTATTGTGTGTCTGAAATAAAACATTTGTCTCTACTTTTGTGGACTATATCCAGTTTTCCACGTTGACACCTGAGCAAACTTCATGAGTGCTATTTCCTCTAAATGTGATGTGATTTTTAAAATGCATATCAAGTGGTACAGCTGTGTTCTATCTAACTGAGTTCAGTATGTTGAATGTCTTTCTTTCCTAAAAACTTCTTTGAGAAGAAGTGAAATTTCAGTAGCCTTTTTCCTATCTTCGGGATCATGATTTTTCGTTATAAAGGTTGGCTCTCGGCTGATTATTATAGCATCAGAATTGGTATCAAGCAAATGGTTAACATTCAATTCATTTTTTTATAACCAGTCATGACATATTTAACAAAAGTATCCTTTTCCAAGTTATAATACATGTTAAAGAAAAAAACTCCTTTTTTTTTTTTTTTTTTGTTTAGTGCACTGTAAATCATATTGCCATATACTTTAGTAGTGATTTATATAAAAATGGTATATACCCTCTTTTGGTATATACCTTAGTATCAAATGCATCAGGTGTTAATAAAGTTCAGAACCATTTGATGTTAATAACTAAAAATAATGAAGATATAACAAACTTATGGCACTTAGTGAGGGAATAACTTATATATTTCGTTTTCAGGTTTAATATCTTTACTTTGTAAATATCGTCTGCACGTGTTTAATTTCAGATAATTTCATTTTCCCGTCTTAAATATCTGTACTTTTCAATATTGTCTGCTTATAATTGCATTTTTCTCTCTTTTGTTTTGGCAATTATTCAATGTTTGTTACTTTTGATGTGTTTGTTCGTACTTTTGTATGTGATGTTTTAACCGGATATTAAAGAGAATGCATACACCACAACACATGCTTGCCAGTACCTGGCGTGAAATTGAATATCTACTTGATATTCTCTGTGCTATGAAGGGGACACACATGGAAGTTCATTGGCAAGGGTCATGAAACTTTTCTAACCATTTATGTTATTAATTTTAATTTATCTTTATTATTTTATGAGTTATTAAACATCAAAATGGGTCCAGGGCTTTATAAACACCCTGTACAGTAGAGCTCCAATTATCTGAATCAGCTGGGACTGGACCTCATTCAGATAATTGGATTTTTTCCGAAGAAAGGTTCTACGGACACTTTAACTGACTCTTAAAAGACGGGGGACTTAACAAAACTGCAAGAAAGAACAATGAACAATAATGTAGTTGAAAGATGAAATAACTTAGGATACATTGGGGGAGGGGGAAATCAATAAATTAAACTGAATAAGAATACTTAAGGTAAAGGTAAATGAAACTAATATAAGAAAAATAAAACGGAATTTGTTTAATATTATATATTAGCTATATATTATTATATATTAGCTGTTACATAATGCTTGTAAACAAAAAAAAAAAAAGCGAGCTGCTGATTTATACAAGAAACAAATAGTTAAACATCATTTTCAAGTATAAATTAAAAATTTTAATTAGTACATGTAATTCTAAACTAAATTCAGCTTAAAAACTGATTAGACTATATACTGATTTTAGGCGTGCATTTGCTGCTAAGGCTTATTTTTATTATGACGCAATGTCAAAAGTTAATATTCCAACATACAGTTATTTAGCTACGAAATCTCACCATCATATGTTTCCCTATTTAGGGAAAAGAAATAGCAGAAAAGAGAACAAATTCAACAAATTCCATTATATTATACCCTAGTCTTTTATCTAAAAATTAACAAAGGCGACCTAAAGAAAAGTTGCAAGAGAGTAGTAGTTTCCCTTTACAATGGCATCTAAAAGAGGGTCGAAATGCATTTGGATTTTTTGTCTTTTTAAGTGAAACCTTTCCTAACTCCCCAGTCTTTTAAAGGTAATTACTAATATTGAAAAGGGGAGACATCTAAAAGAGGGTCGAAATGCATTTGGATTTTTTGTCTTTTTAAGTGAAACCTTTCCTAACTCCCCAGTCTTTTAAAGGTTAATTACTAATGTTGAAAAGGGGAGACAAAAACTATTTTTTAAAAGTCTTAATTAATTAAAATGAAAAGGCAACACTTTTAGGTACATGTTATATAGCATTGCTTGCTGAATATCTCAAAGTGAGCTGTTTGACTGTCTTCATTTGTTTTCAGGCTACCAAGTCGCACATCGGCTTGGCAATGGGAAGTTGCATGTGATCACACTCAGGCTGACACTCCATTCACTTCAATGCAGATTCAAGACCGCCAAACACTTCAGAGCCGATGGTAACATGTCTGCTTCAACTTCGACATTAAGATCATCTTCCTCATTACTTTCTTCTCTCGTACTTTCAATAAGTACATCATGGTTTAGAATTTGAAACTCAGGGTCTGACGAATCAAGCACCATCCACTCTGCTGTATCCTCGGTGCTAACTTCTGAACATCCAGAAATTTTCAAAAGAATGTTGCTTAATTCCTCAAGTGACACGTCATCCTCATCTCTCCTGTCTCTTCCCTTTCCTTTTCTTGAGCTTCTTTTCCTTTTGCTTCTCTTTAATTGATTATGAAAGCGATTTGGATAGTCGGAGTTCAGATAATTGTAGTTGTACTGTATATATATATTCATTAGCATATGCTAATGAATATATATATACAGTGCATTTCTCATAAGAAGTAACATTAAATTCTTTTCCAGCAACCTAAGAAACTTTTCTTGTGTTCCATTTTCCTTTAGCAGTTTTTTCTTATGCGCCCCTTTCCTTCATCAGAGCTTGGTCATTTTGGTGCTTTCTGAAACAATTTTAATGCTTGTTGGTAAAATATACAGTTTTTTCTCAAGTTTCCTCTTCAGAGCATAACTTCGACATATCAACTAAAACCACAGTTATTGTAACAGATTTTATGTTGATTTATGTTTGTATTGGTCCTAGATTTAATGGTTGCATTAGTCTGGAAAGATCATGCACAAAACTGAGTATTTAATAAGTTTTTGAATGAGAATTTTTTGTGAAATGTTCTTTACTTGTTTTATTTGCAATACAGCCCGCACAAAATAACTATACTGGGGCATAAAGCAATACTCATTTCATCAATCGTATTTTCTCCATACATTCTAAAATACAGAGGATTTCTCTGACCTATACATATAGTGAAGGAAAAAAGTATTTGAACAATACAAATTTATGCAAAAATTTTATTGCAAATGACGTAAGTTAAATCAAATTTTTACATTAGTTAAAATTAGCTATCATGTGATCTTGTCATAACGCCGAAAAATAAAATTATGCAAATTTCTAAGGCGGAAAAAGTATTTGAACAACCAATGAAAAACGTTGAAACTTACTTCAAATACTAAAAGTGAACGAAAAAGAAATTCAATTTGTTTTGAAATGTGTGGAAAGCGTAATGAGTTGACTTTAGTAATGCATGTTAGAATTGTAAGTTTAAGAAATAATGGCTCCACATTTTGTGAAATAGCAAAAATTTTAAGATTAAATTTATAAACTGTTTATTATGTGATAAGTAAACATAAATTAGCTGCAAGTATCAGAGATAGAAAAAGGACAGGGTGGCAAAAATTCCTACAGCAGCAGGAAAGCAAAATGATTGAAAGGTCAGTAAAAATACCCTTTTATTAGTAGTGTAAAAATATCTAATGATGTTGCATCTTGCTCAGGTGTTCGTGTTACACCTCGAACAGTAAGAAAGTACCTACATAAGTTTGGATGTAAAGCAAGGGGAAAAAAACATACATAAATGAAAATAATCATAAGAAAAGGCTTCATTTTGCAAAAGAATATTTAGAATTTTGGGAAAAGACTACTTTCACTGATGAAAGTAAATTTTGCTTTGTTTGGAAAAAAGTAAAATAGCTCTAATTCCTTAAAAAAAATTATGTTCAACTGTAAAGCATGGTTATGGTATAGGATAGTATGAACTGGAAGGGAACCTGGTAATTTGAATATAATTGGGAGAATTTTGAATGCGAGAAAATATGTAGAGATATTACGATGTGATTTATTTCAAGCATCTCAAAATTGGGTATTTAGATTACTTCTGGTTCCAACAAGATAGCGACCCTAAACATACAGATAGCATTGCAAAAGAATTTTCTTCTTATATAAAATTCTTCAAAAACTGAACATTCCACCCCATTTACTTGATCTCAGTCCAATTGAGAATTTTTTTTTTTTTTTTTTTTTTTTTTTTTTTTTTTTTTTTTTGAAATAAAAATGAATACAAAAATATTCTTATAAAAACATGGGAAAATATATTGTCAGATCATACCCAAAAGTTAGTAGTAAAAAACAGCGTAGTCTTATTGGATGATTCTATTGATTATTACTATCTAGACAATTATAGTCTTTTTATGAAATATTAAATTTTATTTTTATTATTGGTTTCAATGAATTTTAAGTTATAATTATTTAATTCAAATACTCGCCCATCTTGAATATTTGCATGTTATGGTTGACAATAAATGCTCTATTTTTACTTTATTACATAAGTTATGTTAACTTTAATGTGTAAAAATTTAATTTACACCATTTGCAAGGCTTATATTCTAGACTTGTACGTGTTTTCAGGTTAGATTGTTGTGAGATATATTGCGATCAAGAAACCGCGGCGTTGCTGGCTCTTGTTAAAAATATTCTAAGCTGGTGACTACATTTATACAGAGTCAGGTAAAAACAAACCACATAGAATACCTAGATGTTTGTAGCTTTTTCACTTTTTGAGACTGATTGTCTCAGTTTGATTAAATATGAAGCTTTTAAAATATTTTACGGCTCTCCAAGGCTGAGTGATGTACAGTTTGAAAACCACTGGTTTAAATAATAATTTATAAAAATCATTCATCTCACAAAAAAATGAGTAATGTTGACTCAACTAGTTTGCCTTTTAATAAAATTCCTCTAGTTACTCATTTATTGCTGTCTTTCATAATCCATTTTTATGTCACTCGAACATACTGGTTCAGTAATTATGTTTTGTAAGTCCAATAATTCTGAGTATGTCAAAAGATAAACAAAAAAATTTATAAATAAAAAATGTATTCTACTACGGAAATGTTTAACAATGGCAAAATTTACCAGAATATGAAATATTTTATCTTCTGAGTGTAGGAAAGGCAACAAATAAACATAATTCTGAAGTTATTTCATGACATTAGCCTGTGTAGTAAATTTCTTAAGTGAATTGTTATTTATATGCGAAAGGGTTGCTAATATTATCTTCAAAGACCCCCTTTTTTTTTTAAGCAAAATATATTTTATTATAAACACAGGATTTAGATTAATTCAATTTTAAAAGTCAAACCACGATTTGCAAATGTTTGAATCCTAATCATTAGTAAAACTGTATGATTACTGTTCTATTTATTCCCGTTTTTGTTGTTTTTTTATATTAGAATTTATTAAAAAATTTCTAGTATAGTAATATCAAAGATTTTAAAAGTGTCCATCTCTGTAGACATATTGCTCATTTTGTATCAAATTTTTAACACCTGCTCTTGTACTGCAAAGCACATGGAGGCTAACTGTCTAAGGGTAGAAATTCCTTCATGGGGAACCTTTCTAAGGAAAGGTTGCTTGTATTCACATTGCAGGAGGAAATCATAAAAACCATGCAACCAGCTCATTTGCCTGGGTTGGACATCAGAACAAACAACCAGTATTCAGCAGTCTTTAAATGGTGGAACCACTTAGGTTAGAGCCAACATAATGCAAAATTTTAAAAAATTCCAAGAAAGAAGAAATGAGATTTTTTTCTGCATGTTTCATAATGTAAGGAAAGTGAGGAAAGATAGACCAAAATATACTTATTAAATACTTGTTACATTTCTCACCAAATTTTGCATAATTTTAGCTATAGGAATCAAAATATGGGGGTTGGGGAATTGGCATGTTGTTTTAGAAAATATCAGATTTTGTTTTAAAATATATATTAAAACATTAAACATACTATGTATAAATTTAATAAATAGCCTAAGTTGCACTTCCGAGACTTGAAAAACTTAAGTTGAATTTAACTAATTGGTCAAAGAATAGAATGAGAGATATAGAACTGCCCTTCCCCCTTTTTTACCTAAATCCTAAGCATTGTAATTGTTTTGTTCTGGGCACAGAAGTTTTAGTCCTGACTTATTCTTTAGATATCTGCAACTGAAGTACACTTACCATAAAACTGTGTTTGATTTCTCAGCTGTAAGCATTATTTACATTGTTTCAGGTCACAAATCAAGAGTATTAAATCTTGCAATGAGCCCAGACGGAACATCGGTTATATCAGCTGGTGCAGATGAAACTTTAAGGTTATGGAAGTGTTTTGCAGTTGATCCTAAAAAGAAAAAGACTGCTACTGTGAAAACGTCTTATAGAAGTGATATAATGAAACAAAGTATTCGTTAATTTCAATATTGATTGATCAAGACTAGTTATTACAATTGTGTATATATGTGATACTGCTTTTAACTTTTAAGTGTTTTAAAACAAATACATACTTATTTTGATACAGCTAATGTAAGAAATTTGTATTTTAAATAAATTTTCATTAAATAAAAATATTTGTGTTTTCTTTTCTCAAATTAAGAATCAAAACATTTTTAATATTTATACTAAAGTTTTAATTCACTTTAGCCCCCTTTTTCTAAGAAGTTAGCAAGTTATAAGTTTACAAATTTTTGCTAGTAACATAAGATAACATTCAGAAACATAAAAATCACACTTTGCATGTTAAGTATTGCTCGAGACTTTTTACTTAACTTCTTATCCCTTATTCATGTCTATCACTGATTGAGGTAGCTATTTCCTATGCCCATAATATAGCCAAGTTATTATAATCTACATGCATTAATTTGAAACAATTTATGATATGGCCTGAAGTGTGCCTACAAAATTTATGCAAGTCTAATGTTACTGTTGAATATAATGTAAACATCTTTTCATGCAGGGTTAGGCTCAAACACAGAATCCATATTCGATGTTTTAAATAACTTTACTGATTATATCACAGCTATGTATTTATCAAAAACAAACAAAAAAAAAAAAGGAAAACCGACCAACATATTCTCCAGATTTCAGCTTGTAAGATTTCTTTGTAATTGGGATATCTGAAGATCAAGATCTAGTAGAAAAAACGATAGCCTAAAGTTGGGCAGAGCCACCGTTTTAATGGGAACAGATCAAAGCCATTCTCTAAAAATAACGCAGAGTTGCCAGCTATCCCGATTTCTGACCATGCTCCTGCCAACCCAATTTGCAACGTGTTTCACCTGACTTTCTGCTCTTATTAAAATTTCTCACAATTTTCATGTAGCTTGGCTTCATACTTCATTATTTGCATCCAAAAAAGTTCTTTTTGGCATCTGGAAACACTTTGTTTTTAATCTAGATATATATAAAAGAAAGCCAAAATTGTTTCATCAGTGAGATTTGGTGCACTTTTGCTTTGTGTGCAAGAATCCAAAAACATCACGTTCCATTTCTCTGATAAGTGCCGCTGTGGGTCTTCTGGTATATATTAGCCCATGAGCACAAAGCAAGATCAATGTGCTTTTCCAAAATCATACACAAGTTTCTTCTTATTTCATCAAGGAAATGTAATATATTTGCGATGTCTACCATCTGTCATTGCAATTTTTCAATTTAGTCTAGTGGAAGGGCTGATGTTCTTAAACATGCGCATACACAAAGAAAACATAAGTTTTATTGTGGAAATAAAGGACCCAAAAGTTAGTAATGCAGAATGCAAGAAATTCAAGTGCATGGACAAAAACGGCTGCTATTGTAGAAGAAATTGGTACGAAAAATAATTTTTTTTTTTTTTTTTTTTTTTTTTTTAAGTCTTCAGAAATTAAGCATAGTTTACTTTCTGTCCCCATTTTAGGAGTTTCGAGTCTTTAATATATAGCATGGTTAATTATCAAAACTTTAAACTACTTAGAACTAGGAATGGGAGAGTTGAGGTCTGATGTTGCAAGCACTATAGAAAAAGAAAATTCGTATTTGCAAATTATGAAATGCACCTCATAAATTTAGCAGTTTGAAAAAGGGGCAGCTTCTTTACCAATAAGTGTGGATGAATACATTGTTGATATTTATTATCTTGAAAAGATTTCTAAAAGAGAAAACTGAAATAGCTGTGTGAATATATTTTGCGTATGTAAAAAGAAAACTATATCTTCTCCGGTAAAATTAGTACAGAAGGGGGGGTGAAATACATGAATATTTATGGTATTTTTCTACAATGGTTTAATAAAGAAAAGAAATGAAATTCCAGTTATGAAGTAAGAAATCTTAGCATTATGTTACTATGACTGCCTGCTCCTGTATGAAGTATATAATTGAAGGGAAACCACTGCAAGGCATTAATATCGCATAGGAAAATTAGATGGTACGAATATTCTGAAAATTATTTAATGCCAGACTATTTTCCATCACTGGGATATACAACATTACCTGTATGCCTAACTGGCAAAAATCAACCATTCAATGAATTGACTTCAAAAATGAAACAGAATGCATGAAAGTTCTTAAAAGCTACCTTAACACTTTCTGTCCTAAAATGGCACACCTAAAAATTTCCTTCTGTCTGCACAGAAAAATTGAATGAAAAAAGGTTTATAGGTTACTCTGAACCTTCTTTATTTATAGTAGATGGCAGCCCATATATTTTAGCCATGTTTAGTTTTTAAAGACCCTCATTTTTCAAAGAAACAAGGAGCTTAGTTTTAAATTTTTACCTTGAAATCTTGCGTAAAATCGAACGGCATACATCTGGGCTGCCCAGAATGGGATCACTGAGAGATTAGAACAAAACCAACAACTGTATCTTTCTCTTCAGCCAGCTCACAATAGAAAGGTGTATACACCTCCGTGTTTCATTTCCTGTTTTTTTTTTGGGGGGGTAGGAGAAGTTTGGTTATCAGTTAAGAAATTGTTGGGGTGATTTTCTGAAGATCAGGAATAATTTTATCAGTTGGCTGTTTTGTTTTTTACTAGAGAAGTTCTCTTTTGTTCAAAGAAGTTTCGAATTGTAGACATTTATCTTATAGTTTAATAATTTCTAATAGTAGCTATAATATTAGTTTATTTTTTTAGGATTTTTAATTATTTTCTTGAGAGGGCTGACCATTTCTGAAGTGTTACATGAACTGCTTTCAGATAGTGAATCTGAAATGGTACACTGCTTTTTTTTTTTTTTTAAAGGGGGACAATTCTATATCTCCTGTGCTACTGGGCCGATTCACAAAATTCAAATTGCGTTCTTCATGTCTCGAAAGCACGACTTAAGATATATATTAAATTTTTATATAGCACTATAAATAACATACCAATTTCTTTACATATTTCGATTCTATGACCCAAATTATGCCTAAATATTAAATTTTGTAAAATTTGGTGCGAAATTTACGGAGAATTCACCATTATGTGCCGCTTTTGATCAGTTTGCGCCCAAATTCTTCACTTGGCGACTTCTAATAGTGGCACCTATTTTCATTCCATTTTACGGAAGAGAAAAAAGACCAATTGTTCTTCTTTCAAATATGTTCTTATATTATTTTTTTATTATATTGTTATTAATTTTAGCATTTTTTTTCTTTTCGCATTCATTTTAATTGTTTGTTGAAGTTTCTTTCGATAACTGTTTAAATTCTATTTCAGGGTTAGTAGGATCCTGACAGTGCTATAATCATTAATTTGAAAATAAAATATAAGGCCCTAGAGGTACTTACTTTTCTTTAAGCATTTATTTATTTATTTATTTTTATTTTTTTTTCAGTGCTTATTTTGCTTTAGTGCTTTATTTTTATTCTTTTTTTTTAATAACGCGCATTTTTCCCGTACTAAACCCGAAACTAAATAACACTTTTGTTCCTTAAAGCAACACAAAGGTGAATCGAGCTCCCGAATTGCTTTTCCCCCTTTCTTTAATAGCTATAACCGTGCGTGTGGATACGACAAGTGCAAGTCGTTGTATTGTCAAAGAATTCGAAATGGTATAATAGTCGGTACATTCGGTATTATTTCCTCCAACGCAAATCTACACGTCTGAATTTCGATCAGTTTTAATAATTACATTCTCTTCCGCTGGTCAGTCATATTGTGTTTATTCTGATCGTTATGCTTATTATATCATATGCATGATATTTATAAAATTTGCATAACTGCGAGTCTAGATAAACTTCAAAAATTGGTCGGTTTTTTACCAGATTAGTCTAGGGAATATTTCGGAATGCTGAAAAAAAGGAAAGTAAGCGAATAGTAAAAAAATTTTTTTTTTCCATAATTTACCGTACTGAGGTTTGGAGGTCTCCGCAAATCTCTAATTAAACACCGGACTTATTTTTGTCACTGTCCAATCTGGATGAATATGATAAATTCTTGCGGTCTACCCAACCCAACAAAGATGATTCTTTCCAGACTTTAACGCATCTGTTGAAAATTAAATCATAAAATCCCATATTAGTTAGTCTCTTCCTGTCCTTATTTAGTCTTTATTCCTAAATACCAGCAGATGTTGATTCGATTGGTAATATCACATGGAGAATACTTGTGCTACGCCGTTTCGGTATTTGCAGAGTAATTAATTTTGATTTCAGTCTGAGATTTATGAACAGTACAAGTTTATGTGCTTTCTAAGCAGAATATATGTCAGTCCGTGTCTTTTTTTACGATGCACATATCGAAATGTCAAATCATGGATTAGCGAAATCTAAAGAACTGCTACAACTCCCTCCTCTCTTTTCCTTTATATCGAATATTCGGAATTTCCGAGTATGCGGGTAGTTAGCTTTAGTTAAAGGAGACTGCCTGAGCAATTTCCTGCTTTGATTCAAAATGTGCTTCTTTTTTACTTAAATCTTTCTTGAACTATATCTAAAGGGAAAATGTTATCTTCTATATTTGAACTGAAATGTCATCTTTAAATCTTGTAATATAGTTAGTTCTGCATAGTTTTTTTTTCTTCATTGTAAATAATCTTAATTGAACGTCATTAAATAAAAAAAAAGTTAATTGTTTTCAGTGGTTGAGGTAATGCTATTTTCTTAATAAATATTGCATGCTCATATTTAAATTACAAGCTATTTTTTTTAAGTTATGCAGTGTGTTTAAGTATTAGAAGGTGCTTATTTTTTTAAATTGTTTAAAAGCTTATAGAGCTTCTTTTTTAACTAAATGTGCTATGAACCTGTATGACTCTTCGACTGCGTATTAATCAGGTGCATCTTTTTTTTTATTTTTTTCAAATACTTTCTTTTACTATATTTAGTCATGTACTATTTTAGGTAATTTTTAAATTTTAGACTTTATTTTATGTAGTGTTGCATGTCTCTTCAGATAATTATTTACATTTTCTATTTTCTTCGAACCGAGATTTAAATATATTTATTATATCGGAAGAAACGCTGCGGTGTTTAAGTGTTAACTTAATTTCAGAGGGTGCGCGTAGTCCTAAAAATAAAATTATTCATGATGGCCATCGGACATGTTTGGATGGCTGCATGTGCATAGATGGTGCTGTTCCCACAAAAAAAACACTCAGTGCTTTTGCGAACGTT